AGGAAGTCTTGGGTCATACTTCTGAGGTTTTAACTTTAATTTATATAGTTTTTTTTATGTTTTAATATTTTTGTGAACTGGTGTAAATTGTTAATGCATATAAGCTTGTGTATTTTTGTAAATAGTTTGTGATTTATTTCTTGACCCATATGTAAATATTTATAGAGTCTCATTTCTTCAAAACTTATTTGAAGCTGAGTTGTGGGTTTGGGGTTTTGTTTGTTTCTTTGTTTGTTTCGATTGGGGGTGGGCGGGGAGAGAAGGGGTTTTGTACTCTGATAATCCAGATGGACATACCTTGTGGCTTAAAGCAAATGTCCCACTGAAAGCAATTCAAATATCAACAAAATTATTTCAGGTTAAAACAGACCTCTGTGTATGTGTTTCCTTTTTAATCTAATATGAATTATAACAAAATAGAAGGGGTTGTTGGGGGTACTCAGACCAAAAGATTAGTGTTTCTATGATACATTATTTTACCAGAAGTTATTTTATTTTATTTGAGGGGAGGGGCTTAATGTTTCCTGTGTTTATCTGTCACAGTATGCTGCCTGGCCAAACTCTCCCCAGGTCAAACTGTATCTCTAGGACTGCAGAAACCTCTTGATCTGCACTGGCAAGTTCGAGCAGACCTGCTGCACGCAGGGCTGCCCTAAGGCGTGTGAGCACCATGCATCCGCCGGGCTCCCAGCTGGTCTCCCAGGAGATGGAGTTGGCGTCTTAGGATTCCCCGGAAGGGGATTCTGAATAACAACCATATTTCTAAAGATTCCCACAAAGCATTTTGGACATACTGTGCGCTTTCAGAGTGTACCGGAAAAGAGCCATCTCCTATACACGGCCGCCTGTGACAAGCTGATCTGTGGCAAACCCAGATAAGAAAGCACTCAAATGTGACAGCTGCTGCAGGTCCCCCAACTGCCTGACTGGGGTCCAGACGCTCTCCCGTGCCAGAGTTCTTCTCAAAACAAGTGCTTCCATGTCAGCCAGGACTTTTTCAAGATAAAAAAAAAACAAAAAAAAAAAAACCTCTATTAAGGTATTGAAATCCTAGTTTTCCTGTTGGGAGTGATCAAGTACAAATCATTCTTCATCCTAAAATATTACGGCATTTCCCTTTTAGTTAGTAATGAGGACAGATGCCTGTTTAGTGAGATGACCCCATCTTTTATATACCTACAACCACACTCCAGACTAGAAGCACGATGGAACATTTCACCCCCAGACTTGAACATGGGTTCCCGTGGAAACTGCTCAGATGGGATTAAAGAAAGGAGACATTGGACGTTTGCACTGGGTCTTCAGCTTAGTTTTCTGAGACTCATTTCCATACTATTTCATTACCACGTTTTCTTCGTACTGATGAAAATACAGTACCTACCTCTTAAAATACGTATTTATCATGGAGGAGTCAGTGATAAAATCACTGATGGTGTTTGGAATTTCAGTCATTTGTGGTCCTACAGGAATAGGCACACTTTAATGTTGACTCCCATCACATTAAAACTTTGAGCACCTGCAACCCTCTGAAATAAGATAGTTCAGTGGCTATGTTTCTCACGTAATTGAGAGTATACCTCTTAAAAATAAAATTGACTTTTATTCTAAATATTTTAATTAAAATATTTCCAGGATATATTTTAAGCCACAATCTTTGCTGTTACTATACCTAAAGATTCACCATTTACACCTGTGGACCGCTCTACCGTAACATAGTGGTACTATCAGGACACACTGAGATAAAGAGTGCTTCTGTACCAGGTGCTCCATCACCACTGTCCTATTGTGTTCTTGCCATTTTTTTTTTAATTTCCTATATCCTCCTTTTCTTCCTACTGTCACTTCTTGCTATTGTCCACGAGCTACCTGTAAAACTTCCTCTTCCTCAAAATAACCATTCAAAATAAATAAGCTTGTCAAGATGGTGAGCAAAAGAAATTCTGATCGGAGACCCTGAAAGGTCAGAACTTGGTGTCATCTGTTTCTTATTACACAGAGCTTCTGCTTCTTTTCTCCTAACAAAGTACTTGGGTACCCAAGTTTCAGACGCTTAGAAGGGAGAATAAAACAAGAACTCTTTTAAGAGTTTTACCTGCACTTGACGTTTTGTGAGAAAGCTCTATGATTAGACACAGTGGCATCTTCCATGTTCATAACTCCCCGCAGAAGAATGCTGGCCCCCACGAGGCATCTGGCCTCACCACTAACTGCGGGAAGGCTCTCGCCCCACCACTAACTCTGCGGGAAGGTTGTCGGCCCACCACTAGCTGCTGGAAGGAGGATGGCATGCCAGATGCATGTGCATCCTTGACATTCGAGCAGTGCTCCTTTTTTCATTTCCTAAGAACATTTTGAAGAACACCCTGGGATTTCTCGGCCATTTGTTCATGTTTAAAACTGGACAAATAGTTCTCAAAGCTTAGAAACCGTTTAAGCACCCAAAGAGCCAGCTAAACATAAGATTCCTTGAGCAACGCCCAGACAGTCTGACTCAGGAGGTCTGGGGTTGGACTCAGGGGCCTGCAGTTTTAGCGCCTCCCGGTGACTCCGGTACAGGTGTGAGAAGCGCGGGCCCAGACACCATCTGTACTGAGCTCCTCTCATGGGGAACCGGCTCCGGTTCGTAGTGCTCCACCACTTTTCTCATTTGCACCTTGGTTCCCTGTCACGTTAGTGATAAGGGAACAGAAGTTTGTCGTTAATTTCTCTGCCCCCAGTGGTTCAATATTCAGCCCAGTTTCTATTATTTATGGCAACGACACACAGAAATTAGGACTAAGTGAGTGCCAGATAATATGGAAAGCAATGTCACATTCTCTCAAAACTGGTAAAAGGCTGAAGACTGAATATACCACTGGCGGCAGTCACACACTTACGCAGTCAGGTCTCGGGTGTGAGCCGTTTCGGCTGCTTGGGAACTTCAGAGTGTGCGTGCTGCTCTTCAGACGGGCAACTCCAACAGAACTCTTAGAACCAAGTGATGTGCCTTCCTTTCTCACCAAAGGTTCTACAAGAACTTCTCGCACGTAATAGGCTTGTCTTTTTAGTTTTACGTATTTTATCAGTTGTGGCGATGGTATGGCAATGTTTTAACAGCCAGTGATAACTAACACTGTGCTTACTCTAGTGCCAGTCACTGTCGTAAGCGTTTTACATTTATGAACTCACTTGTCCCTCACTGGTTTATAGACGACGCCAAGGCACACAGGGTTAGTCTTCAGCCAGTTGTACAGCTGCTCAAGAGAGGCGGGGCTGAGAGTCTGAGCCA